TGAAATGTTATTGTTGCTGTTGCTGTTTTTGTTATTGCAATTGTTACTCTAGCCATTGCTGTGGCACAAAGCCTCAACCGCAACAACTGCTCCACTTATGTATGTATGTAGTTATACTTACTTTGTATGTGTTTGCTTTTGTTGTTGTTTGTTTGTGTTGCATGCTTTGTTTTATACACATGCTTTTGTGTTTGTATTGTTTTCTTGTTCTAGCTTTGTTATTATACAGTTGTTCACTTTGTTGCAGTGTTTTACTTTCAGCATGGCTACACATCAGTGTTGGTGGCTTCGTCGCAATCACAACTCATTCTGGAGTTTCGGTACAAAGCATTAATTTCAATTATAACCAGAAAAAATGTTACCTTCGGCTTCACCCAAGCTCTGATATTCATCACAGTGGCATTTCTGATAGCAACAAAGTGTATAAAAAGATCTTTATCTCGATTTTGATTGGTCAGTTTGTATGGCAGCTATATGCTATAATGATCTGATTTGAACAATTTATGCGGAGATTGTAGCGCTGTAACCTTGGAAAATAACTCATGCCAAGATTCGTAAATATACATATGTATCTCGTCAAATTAAAAAGCTTTCCATGCAAGCACTTTATTCCGATCATTCAGTTTGTATGACAGCTATATGCTATAGTGGTCCGATATCGGCGGTACTAATAAATGAACCAATGTAAAATTTCAGAGCAATATCTCAAAAACTGAGGAACTACTTCGTTTATATACAGACAGATTTGGCTAAATAGACTCAGCTCGTCACGCTGATCATTTATGTAAGTACATACATACACATATATACGAATATGTATATAATCTATAGGGTCTACGACGTTTCCTTGTGGATGTTACAAGCTTCGTGGCAGACTCAATACAATAGAGATTCTAAATATCCCTTACGAATCACTTTGTAAAGAACGCGTCATAAAAAAAATTCCTCAGTTATTCCGATATTTTGAAACGAATTGACTGTGTCCAAAAATTCAATTTAAGGGTAATACCTTAAACACCCTTTTGATTATGGGAATATTAGTTCTATAACTGAGTTGCTTAAAATTGCATATTTATTGCGTTGAAATCGACAGCTAACCTTTAGTAAACTTACTTTCATTAAAATTTAAACTTTAAATTGCCTTGCGGTACATTTATTTCAAATTGTGTACCGGTTCATCGGTTTGTAAATTCTCTTTGTCCAACACTGGCACACAAAGCTGCGGCAAGTACGTTATTATGCTGTACCGTCGACCACGTCGCTAGTCTGCTGTCTGCGTCTGCGTGTGTGGTCTTTAATTCGCCTTTTGGGTGGTCTCATCCAAACTCGGTCGACGTCGTGTGTGGCCTGGGTGTACTGAACATACATATGTATTTATATGTATAAATTTATTTATATTATCAGCATGTGTGGTCCACACTACGCCATGTGTGTGGTCCAACCATCAACGTCAATAGCGTACTTATTGTTATTGTTATAGCTGCAGCGTGCATCATACACCTTCTGGCGCTTCGTTGTTGTTCGCATAAAACAGTTGCTATTTTACCCCCTCTACTATAATTTATTGTTCTCCCATACAGACGTTTTGGTTTTTATTATTATTTCAATTTGCAATGGCGATAATAAAAAACCGGTGGCCACTTAAGTGAATTCATTCATACGAGTATATACTATATGTACATATAATATACGTAATGTATGTACAAGTATATGCAAATTTCTGCTGTATGATGGTGTGAATGTGCGCTCTTTTAAAGTCCATTTAGAATTTCTCAAGTGCCCATAAGTATTTTATTGTAATGTTAAATACATTTTTGTACACAGTGGGTCATAAACTTTTGTATATACTTACATACGTATAAACATATGTATGTTTGTAGGTGGCCTTGCTGTTTAGAGCTCCTTTACATACATATGAGGCGTATGTCTTTACAATAGGCCTCTACAACTTTAGATCACCATCAAGTGATCGGTCGTTTCTACAGGGTGGCCCACGAATCGTGCTACAAAAACAAACCGTAATAACTCTTTTTCTATATAAGTGTTCGGTCGTTTCTATATAAATGAGAGAAATCCAGCATCGCTATATTAATGCACCACATTTAGTTGGAATTGTCGAGGAGTCATAAGAGGGATGTGTCAATATCTACCTGTTGTCAGTAGTTATCTAGTGGTTAAATCCTATAAACAAACTGTTTCGACCGAAGTGAAAGCAATGTTAGAACCTTGGATAAAAAAACCATGCACGATGTATGTATACATGAGTTGGAAACGTTTCTTGCTAACCGATATGCGTTGCTCTGCCAGGTCTGTAGCACATCATATATAACCTACTAGTCTCTGGCGACAATACCTGTAATGTGCGAGCGGCCGTTCGAACATCTTGTATGTCGCCAGTAATATTTCTTTTTGCTTTCCTGAAATTTTACCCTCTAGGGTTTTGAGACTTTGGTGCGATTCAGAGCGCAGACAGTCAAAATAGAAGGAAAGAGTAATTCCAGATCTGCATCCTCCAGTTGACAAAAAGGATCGGTGAAAGAAGTATCGATTCCCACAACAGTATATTCTACCGTATCGGAATCGATCCGAATTTTATCCGCCCAAGACCGGTAAACTAATCCTGTTTGGATCGGGACTAGATAACCGCTACAACAACAACAGTTAGGTGTAATCAATCTCAATATCTGAAGACAATATTAGCGTTTGAGGTGAATGTAATCCGTGCAGGTTTTTGAAATAAAGTGGGCAGAGGACACTCCCCTACGGAACCCAATTATTGTCTGACTACTATTTATTACTACCTACTGTTACAAACAGGGTTAGATCGCCGATAACAGATATTGACCGGATAAAACCCGGGTCAATTCCGTTAATGTAGTGAGAATTGTAAAGCCGGTTATTATTAACTTTTTGCAGCTGACATTAATAAATCATGCACATGAGCTTAGCCGAATACGATGAGGTAGCAAATATAATGCGGTAATGGGTCTGTCGAGGATTTTTGGATATTTATACTTTGGCTGCTAACGATGAATTGAGAAACCTACTATATCTGCCACACATCTTTTTTTAAATAAATTCCAGTGGCTATTAAGAGCTGAAGCATAAACTAATTGCGTAAAAGACTAAAGTTCTTAAAGTAATGTAAAAATTAATAATAAAAAATACTTTAATATGATTTTTAATTTTTACAATTTAAATTATATATGAATTAAGGAATATATAATATCTCAATATAACTATAACTACAAGTATCAAATATAAAGCAAGTTAAAAAAACAAAATGGCAATACTGTTTGTGGACACCGTATTGTTGTGATTTCTTTATTGCTCTTTTGACATTTGATATCACTCATTTGACAATTAGTAGTCAAATGCAATTTTCATATTTCTTTAAAGAGCTGTTTTCATTTAGCCACACAGGCGGAGTAAATTGCTAAGCTGTAAGCAACTGCATCCTTTCCAAAATGCCACCAAAAAAAGCACCAGCGGCAAGCAAAAAAACTGAACAGAAGAAGAAAGAAAAGATCATTGAGGTAAGCAGTATATTGAGTTATATACTAAAGGTATGTCAAAGAAAACTTAACCTAACTTTTTATTGCTAATGTCGCTTCGTGTCCACCGCCAACTAACAAATACATTCAACTGAATACAGGATAAGACGTTTGGTTTGAAGAACAAAAAGGGTTCCAAACAACAAAAATTCATACAGCAAGTACAGAAACAAGTGCAGTCGGGTGGTCAACACCCACGTACCGATGGAGATAAGCGCAAGGAGGACAAGGAGAAAAAACTGCTAGAGCAGCGTGAATTGGCCTTGATATTCCGACCGGTGCAAGGACAAAAGGTTGAAAAGGGTACCGATCCGAAATCGGTGGTATGTGCGTTCTTCAAACAAGGTAGCTGCACAAAAGGGGATAAATGTAAATTCTCACACGACTTGTCCATCGAACAGAAGGTAAGCATTATTGAAATACAAGCTATTGTATAAGCTTACATTTGTTTTCTGTATAGACCGAAAAGCGTTCAATGTACGTTGATATGCGTGATGATGATCCGGATGACAACATGGCGAATTGGGATGATGCCAAATTGAAGGAAGTGGTGGATAAGAAGCACTCCAATGAAAAGAAAAGACCAACTACTGATATTGTAAGCAATTTGATATAATTTTTCTGAGATTTTTGTTTTTACTTATTTAAAGCATATTTTTCCAGATTTGCAAATATTTCTTAGAAGCAGTGGAAAAATCGAAATACGGTTGGTTCTGGGAATGTCCCAATGGTGAAAAATGTATTTATCGTCACGCATTGCCGCAAGGTTATGTGCTAAAAAAAGATAAAAAGAATGTTGACAAACCCAGCGAAATTTCATTGGTTGACCTTATCGAAAGGGAGCGTGCCGCATTGGGTTCAAATCAAACACGCGTAACATTGGAAACGTTTTTGGCTTGGAAGAAACGCAAAATTCAGGAAAAGAAAGATAAAATGGCGGCAGAGGAGGAGAAGAAGAAGAATGACTTCAGCAAAGGCAAACAATTCGGTATTTCAGGCAGAGAAATGTTCAGTTTCAATCCGGATCTGGTCGATGATGGCCCGATGGAGGATGGTGATGCTGCATTTGATAATTACGAACGGTCGGACGATGAAGACGCTGTGGAATTCAAAGAATTGGATTTAACGGCACTTTCGCTGGCGGCACAAGAAGCGGATGGTTCGGGTACTGTAGCGTCAGAGTCACGGTTGCAGGAACAGTCCGAGGCGGCGGCAAAGCAGTCGGCTGAAGAGGAAACAGCAGCAGCTGCAGCGAATGATGATAATAGCACACCTGCCAATGATGCGGCACCCATAAACAAAGAACTGTTTATGGGTCTCGTAGATGAACTGGAAGATTTAGATATTGAAGATGGTGACGATGATGATGATGACTAATACCAGTAATAGAAATTTTGTTGTATCTATACATAATGGTGAAAACAATATTAAAACAAAGGATTATCATGGAATTTGCAAAATTTTGGAGCACACTCAACTAATTATTTTAGCAGGGAATGTGACAATTTATTTAAATTCCGTTATTATGCTCTCAAATGTTATCTTCATTGAGTTCAAATTTGTTTGTGTAACTTTTGAAACAAAAAAAATGTTACAAGCACAACAGCGGTACGACAATAATTGTACAGGATAAAACAGAATAAAAATACGACGGCCGATTACCAGAAAGAGGGTGGTAGCATTCCTTGTGGCTCAGGAATCTGTTTCTGATTCAAATAATTCATGAAGAGCATTTCTAAGCGCGTACGCGGACCACCTTCATCCACCTGTGATAGTTTTGCGAAATAATCGCGTTGTATGTGTAAAAGCAGCTTGGTAAATTGTCTGCCATAGGCGCGGCACATTGAAAACCCGAGTGTTTGTAGCATCTCTAAAATTAATGTAGCACTAATGTCGGGCAGCGGTTCAAGACTGCTAAAGTCTACCAGCCAACGCCAAGCGTGCTCCAGCCCGTATGGGTGTTCAGGGCCTTCAGCCCGTCGTCCATTTGTTATCATGACAGCGGCATATAAACGTGTTATACCCGCTTGACGTTTCAGATCGTTATACTCTTCCACCGATTTGCCACGTAAGGGCACCAAAAACGGCGACTCCTTATATATATATGCTAAGAAAAGTTTGCCAAAATCTGGTATAAGCTTCCATAGTGAAACCACAACTGAAGCAACTGGGAAGGCGGCTTGTGGATTGCTTGAAATTGCAGTCTCACCTTGATTAACAAACCGTTTCGCTGTTAGTAGTAGACAATAGTTGCGTCCCAAGGGATGATCATTGGCGCTGACTTGTCCATCTGCAGTTTTGAGCGGTTGTCCATTGAGAAAGTTAAATATACGTTCGAATTTATCCTGTTGTGATGCAAAAGTGCTTTACAAATGGTAATGGTATTGCAATACTAGCATGAAACTAACCTGCAAATGTTGTGGGCTGACTGCAGAGATGGCATTTAACGGTATATTGATTGCTTTCTGGCAAGCGAATCGATATTTTTTCATATTCTCATCAGTCTGCAGTGGTTTCACGCTATCAACCTTTTCTTGATAGAAACTGTGAATCCCCTGATAGAATGCCAATGCTGCTGTTGGCTCCTGGGCGCTTGTGGGTACTACGGTTTGGCTCACTTGCTCCAACTGCGCTGTTTGTTGCTGCGCTACATACTGTGTTGGTTGTTGTGGTTGCATTGTTTGTTGCGACGTCATGGTTTGTTGCGTTTCCAACATTTGTTGTGGCACAACACTCTGGCTCTGTTGTGCGTCTAGTGCTTGAGAGGCCGCTTGTGCTTGTTCTGCACTGGACGTTGGTGGTGGTGTTACGGCTTCAGCTGGTACTTCAGCCGTTTGTGATAATGCCAATACGGTAGCCAACGCTTGTTCTTCCGCCGCTTTGCGTTGCTCTTCTAGTTGAGCTTGCTCTTGTTGCTTCAGCAATTTATCCAGATCGTCATGTATTGTATTATGCAAATCATCCATCTTATTGCATAGGCTATCGGCAAGTTTCAGCTCTGCCGCACCACATTCATCTGTTTTTATTTTACTTGTGAGCTGATCAAATAGCTCGACCAATTCTTTCAACTGACGGTTGTAATCATTACACGGCAGCAACGATTGCTTATCGATGGATATGAGCGCCTTGGCAACTGCTTCATATTTACTGCGAAATACGCTGTGATACTTTGCAACACATTGAAATGAAAACAGTTGTAGTTGACGTTTGGCATTTAGGCGCATAGCATCCATTTCGCGTTCGTTTTCCTGTACTTCGAGCGCTGTCTGCTTTTCAGCCTTTTGTATGATCTGTGCGTCAGTACGTAGTCTCTCCGCGATTAACTCTTGCACCAGCTTGCTGTGCTGCTCACGCTGACGCAATGCATTGTCGCGTAATACTGCCAATTGTCTTTCCTGCATTTCGTGCATTTGCTGACGCACTTGCTTTTTGCGTTTCTCCTCCGCGTCGCGCAGGAACATTGTAGCGCTGACAAGTTCATAGTCTAATGACTTAAATTTAAATCAAATTAGCGCAATTTGGTATTTTGAAACTTGCTACTTACCGTGGATGGTTTTAACACGGGTATTATTAGCTTAGACGAACTTTCGTTTTTTTGTGGCGATTTTGGTTTTTGTGGCGTTGTTTTCTTAGGTGTGCTGGATGCAATTTTCGCTTTTTCTTCTTGTGCTTTGGGTAAGTCTGGCCCAATTGTACGCTCCGTAACTAAGGATGAAATTTCAATTGCATGCTGGAAAGTTATTTCATGTGGCTTCATAATATCGCCTATTTCCATAATCTCCATCTCGACGCCCTGACATTTAAAAGACAACGATATAATTTTGTTTTATTTTTTTCATGAATAATGATTTTTGACATGTATTTCACTTACTGCTTCGCCCATTATGAACGTTTGTGTCCAACTTTTTTCTTGAGATTTCTAATTACATATAATAAAAATTTAACAATCGGTAAACAAAACTGTGCAGCTGTTTTGGCGCACAAATGTTGATGAAAAATGCAGCTGAATAGTATTTCGGAACATAGGGTGGTAAATGTCTGGAAAATAACCACTTTTAATTTCCAATCGAACAGCTGGTTTACGAAAAAACCAAAACAGAAAAAATATTCTTACAAAACTAAAATAATTATTTTTTAAACATAAATGCAGATCGGAATTAGCGTCAAAATTTAAATATTTTAACATATTTTACGTATATTTTCTAATTTGTATGTCTGTACCTCAATTAACAGCCATGAGTAATACTTACATTATACACATATTTATATATATTTTCTACCAATATTAAAATCTAATATTAAAAAAATTTGATGCCAAAACTATCGTCTAACTGCACCACCTCACACTTTCCTTTATTTTCCAGTGTGCGAAACGCATTTAGTAGCACGGCCTCATCGACACCATGAAATTCTGTTCCCTCTGAGTTCTCACCAGACGCAATCTCATACAATGTACAAATCGTATTCAATTGTCCCGTCTGTTGTATCCAATCGTACACCATATTTGCATACTCTTCCAGTGTATAACTATAGACTTGCCATTCTATACGTCGTTTATCCAATGGCGCTGCATGTCCAGTACGTTGCAGTTGCTCCAATATCACTGTTATAGTTTCAGGTGTTAAACGTCGTTTAATCCCGTCATTGTGGAAAAGTGGAAATGTATTTTCATTAATGTTCACTTGGAATTTGTTTAAATGTTTGAGGTAGCGCAAGAAAAGATCGGACCACACTTTAATTTGCTGATTACGTGTTTCTTCATGGGGTTGTAAGCTGTAAGGAAACAACGTTTGTACAATATATAATAAGCGCTTTTTCTATAGTTGTTTATAAACTTACGTGAAAAATGGTGGAAATGTGTATTCCCATGGCCATTCAAATTCCGTCATCATGCAAATAAGTAATGTTTACAACAATTGTGTGTAGAAAATTAACTTTTGCTTTTAGTTTTTAGCAAAGTGACTAACATAAGAGATGTGACATTAAAAACACACACAGGGTGTTAGTAATACAAATGTTATAATATCGCGTTATTTATTTACAACGTACTAATAAAGCGTTATCGCATATCGATAAACAACACACCTGGTTAATTAGTGCATTGTTTATTTTAATAACGTAGAAAAGAAAATATAATTTAATTGATATAAGTGTTGCTATATACGCTACGTTTTAACGTCAATACCAACGTAATTCCACAATAGTTATCGATAGCGCTTACGCCAATAACAAACTATTTACGTCGCTATATACTGACGCATTATTGGTAAATAAAACACATAACACTTATTACATTAAAATGATTTTAGTATATTTAAATATACACATTTTTACTTTTCATATTTTTTTTTTTAGAAAAAAATGCATTAACATTTCTTGCTATATAATTTTTTTATGTAATTTTCATCTTTGTATTGTGTTTTTGTTGCGAATTTCTTCGATAAATAATTTCTGTTTTCTCAATATATTTTCTTATAGACTTTTTATAATATACAAAATGGGACCGACCAGATTTTAACCTTTATACGACGCCACGCCTACTAATTTCATCTGGATGCAAATATTAGTGATTTTTCAAATACACACATTTCCGGCGACATAAACTTGATTGATACATACTCCTTTTCTTTTGTTTTTGCTTGGATTTTTATTTTCATTCATATATATATATATATATACGTATATATGTGTATATATAGATTTATTTATTCATTTAATATTTATAAATATACGCGCGAAACTTACTGCTATTTTACATATACATTTAAAGTTTTTTTCACGATTCCTTTCCTATTTCAGCATTTGCTCTGCACTTTCTATACGACGTTTGTGGCAACAACACAATACTAAATTTATAATTATTATTTACTATTATTTTAGTGTATATATTTCTCAGTTAAACATTATTTAATCTTCAATTTTACATACAATATATTTCAAATATACAAATTACATAGAGCTATGGCAGCGTGTATACATACATATAAAACATAATTTAAAAAAAAATATAATATTATGCAAAAATTAACAAAACCAATACTCTGCTATTAATATACATACATACAGTGAATTTGCAATACAAGATAAAAAAAATAAACTCAGCCATATATAATATTTATAATTACAAAATTATCGTATCGCATTTTTGCTGCTTATGTAACAGCTTTTTCAGAAAAAACCAAAACACAAAAAAAAATTGCATTGCGTTTTCTTTTAAACTTACAATGTAATAAATGCCTATATCTGCTTCATTACTATTACTTTTTAGTACAATATTTATAAATGTATGCATACTCAATTTTATTGCATCTATATACATATGTATATATGCATGTAGATAAATTACACAATTTTGTGTGCGCTAGTATTTTTATATATGCTACATATATACTATAATTTTAATACAATTCTTTGTGTTTTTTATTTTTTTCGCCAAAATCACACGTAACTACGCCTAAATGCTTACGCGCTTATTTTTTTTCATTTTTCAAACGTTAATGCTACTCTTTCGCCGTTACTAAATACAAATTACTTGCGTTTCTTCGTATTCAAAGTGTTGCAATTTAATTTATTAGTTTACTTTTTGCTTTTGTTTAATTTTTTTTTTTTTGGTGCGCAGCGTTTTGTAAATTACAACAACACATAGAAAATGTATACGAATGTCCTACATGCAGATTGTTTCATTATCGCGAATTATTTTGGTTTGCATATAAACCGTTACTTTCGTTTTTGCTTTTAACCATTACTTAATACTCAACACTTTTCATAAAAGTTTTCATTTATTTTCGCTATATGCTGATTTATATCTTTTATACACTTTAAAACACTACAATTTTTTAGTTTGCCTATTTTTTTATATATATATTTTTTTTTTTTTTGTTTTTGAAAGATTTAGTTGGTGCGATTTTGTAAATTATGTTGCTGTTGTTATTATTATTGTTGGACCACAATTTGCTGTTTCTTGTTTTTATGCATGCAATTTTTTCCTGCAACTAATGCGCCTCGCCGTGAAATTACAATTAACAACAACATTGGTTAGAGAGCATGCGTTTGTTGTTGTGGCCGCACAACTACACATACAATACTTATTTGAACATTTATTTCCTTCTCATACTCATAGGTCAGTAGCTACACTAATGTACAACAACTTTAGTTCGACAGGATTCGAGTGGAGGTATTCGATAGCGTTTTTAGTTATTTTCTTATGTATTTTGTTGAAGTTGAAAGGTCTTTTGCTTTGCTTTTGTTTTTGTTTTTTGTTTGTTTAGCAATTATGTAAGTAGATTTTAACGGGTTTGGAAATTTTGGTAGACTGAAAATTTATTGATTGTGAAGTGTTGAAGTAATCTTATTTGGTTTTGAAAACGTCTGTTTAGTTTTTAGTTACAATGCCAAATTCGCAAAAATTTGACAATTTCAATTAATTAACATACTTATGAGCTTATTTATAATTACAATTGAAGCGTTTTGTTCTTAGTTGCACTTAAAAACTATGTTGATTGCATTTAAATTATTTTTACAATATTAAAGAAATGAAGTTAATAAAGAGACGGAGGAAGTTTTACGAAAATTGTATAAACAATTTGATATAATCTTCGAAAATAATGAGAGTTTTTGAAATTAAAATATTTTATGCTTCATGTCGACGATAGAAAAGAAAAGCCGAAGATTTGTACACAAAAAGCGTTGTTTGTTGAAATAAAATTACAGGGTGATTACCGGAAAATTTTATCTACTTCTTCTACGGTTTCTTTAATATGAATATATGAATAAAAATGAAGAAAAAAAAATATATTCAAGTCGTCGAAAGAAATCAATATCAACAATATTCAATCTGAAAAAAATTTGAAAAATTTTGAAAAATATTTGTGAAAAAAAAATAGTTAAAAAAATTTTTTTTTTAAATTTGCGAAAAAAAATTTAAAGAAAATTTGCGAAAAAAAATTTTAAAAAATTTGTGTGTGTTGATATAAAATTACAGGTTAGCACTTTTAAAGCGGATTTTAAAGTAAACGAAATACATTTTTGAACGCAAAAATATATTGTAAGATGTTACATTTTAGCCGGTTCTAATTGCTGTTTACATTATTATGTTTTAATTAAATTAAAAGAAAAATACTATTTTACTAAGAATAATGAGAGAAAAGCAATATATGTATATTCGAAACATAAATTTAGTTTAGAAAATAAAATTTAAAAAAAAATCCTCTTTATAAAAATTTTAAAGCCCAAAAATTATTATAAAATTTCACCTGCGCTAAACGACGTATACTTGCAAAATTCTCTGCCTTACAAAAAAATTATAATAAAAATAAATGCTACTTAATAGTTGCTTAAAGCTTTAAAGGTAACAACAAAAAATTTCATACTTTTTACAACTGCAAAACTCAATGGCTGCTTAGTAGCAAGTTAGCTTTGTTTTCTTGAGTGTGTGTGTGTGCTTTCGCGCAGCTGTGCTGGGAATCGGTTGGTGTGCATTAGGAGTTTTATAGTTTTTTTCATTTTCATATACATACATACATTTATAATATACCTTTCTTTTTGTTTTAATTTACTTTTAACATTTTATAAATTATTATTTAGTTTGCTTTCTTCAACTGACGCTTAACACGTACGACATACACACAAACATACACGATTAGTAAATGCCTTTAAATCGAGCTACGATTTCGGCCGATTTTAGCCGAAAACCCAAAAGCTAAACACTAATGCCTTATGCTCTTTTAGCTTGTCTTTAAAATTGCCACACGCTCTGCAGTTAAGCTTATACATACATATATAATTACACTACCTCACCTATGTGTGGGTTGGATCAGATGCGTGTACCCTTCATTTGGGTAACGGTTCGAGGTAACAACGTACCGTATTGTTCTCATCCAGCATTGCAGAAATGTTCCGGCCGATGATTGGTTGTGTGTGCGACGATGACGGTGTTGTTGCTGCTGTTAGTGTTGTTGGCGACAATTGTTGCCTCTTCGACAGCGGGTATTGTTGTTGTTGCGCTTGCTGCTGATTGGCCGGCGGTAAGGGCGGACCTAGGCCACTGCCACCACCACCGACGTTCGCAGCACCGCTGCTATTATGAGTCGTCGTGAATAACTCATGCACACCTATTCGATTATTCGGTGAGATCTTTTTTATGGCGCGTATGGAGCTCGCGCCGCCACTGCCACCGCCGCTAATGCCAAAAACCGCCGCACCGCTTGACGCTGCCGCATTGTGGTGATCAAAGTATGCCGCTGCTGCCGTTTTGTCATTTAATGAGGCCTCGGCTTTCTTGCGTTGCTTTCTGTTGAAGAGCGAGAAAAAGATCGAGAGAGAATGAGATAGATCGAGAGAGAAATAGAAGACAAAATAAATAGAAGAGGTAGAGAAAGAGGAGAGCGAAAGAAAGAGCAAATGAGAGAAAAATGAGAGAGAGGACAGGAGAAAAAATTAGGAGGAGTGGGAAAGATAAAAGGATAGAGAGAGGGAGAGAGGGAGAAACAGAGACAGAAAAATACCGTTACAGTCAACAGTACTAAATAATTACTCGAAAAATTTCAATACTTACTGAAACCGCCGCTGAAACTCTTCATCTTGCAACGCAATCAGTCGCCGCATGCGCTCGTCACCCTGTGGCAAGCCGCGTCGCTGCGCGCTCCCATCATCGTCGTCGTCGTCCTCCTCACTGGACGCGCCGCTCTCCGCGTGACCATATCGACTGCCACTGATGCCTACGCCTGCGCCAACGACGCCATTTCGCGCTGCCTCATAGTGATGCCGTTGCCGCAACTGTTGGCGACGCATAGCGCTACTGCTACCACCGCCAGCACCACCACCACGACTATTGTTCACCACCTCATCATCGCAATCGTTTACATCATCGTCATCATCATCATCGTCAACGTCGTCATTATCACGACCATACATATTCAAATCCATTTCGTAATGTTGTACATCGGAATTGCGATTGCTGAGAATCTCCTCATAAACCGGCCCATCACCGCCCATTGAATTTTGATTGTAGTACTGTTCGCTGCCCGCGCGTCCGCTCGGGTCGTACTCCTCATGGCTCAGATCACAGTTGGAATGCTTATTTCTATAGTAACGCTGTGTGGGCGTGTGCGCAACGCCCATAAACTCTGGCGAGTGATGATGCGGATAATGGTAGGCGTGCGATGCGGGCGCCGGCGGTGGTGGCAATTGTGAGCCGGCGCGTCGTCCCAAATGCAACAAATGCGCATGCGCAGCGGCTGCTGGCTCCAATTGTTCCTCATCCGAGGACAATTGTTGTTGTTGTTGCTGCTGATGATGCGCGGCCAGCATCATAGCCGCTGATGCATGGCGCCGATGTTGTTGTTGCTGCTGCTGCTGCTGTTGTTGCTGATAGTAGGCAGCAGCACCGACCGCCTCATCGTAGTGCGGATACTGTTGCTGCTGCTGTTGTTGCTTCAGTGTGGTCTTCTTATACGACGGATAGAAAAGTATTTGCTGCGACGCCGCTGTCGTGCGACTATGCAATGAACCGCTCGGCGATTCACCGCCAATACCACTGCCACGCTTCTTCTTGCCGTGCGGCTGATGTTTTTGCGTCCAGTAGAAGAACTCGTGCGCCTGTTGTGGCGCAGCCGCGTTACCTGCATAATCGCGCGGATGTGCCAGGCTCAAAGCATTGTTGTTGCCGCCACCCGGTTTACCCATTTGCTGTTTCCAGCCATAGTAATCCGGCTGATGATAGTACGCCTCTTGTGGTGCACCGCCCGTTGCGATGCCCGAGCCAATCATTTGCTGCTTTTGACCACCGAAAATCAGATGCGTCGAGCCAGCCGATGAGGTGGGCGAGGTGTGACCAGCGCTGGGCGTGCGCAGCCCACCACTGCCGCCAACTGAATGACCGGCATTTGCGCCACCGCGCTCCAACACAATATGTCCTTGCATGGCATCAATAATGGAGTGGCCACCCTTACCGTGCTGCAATGTCATATTGCCGCCGGCGCCCTTCACCGCATCCACATCGGCATCGCTGGTTAACGACAGATTGCGCGCATCATTCAATTCACAATCTGATGATGCAATAATGGCATCCTCGGCAGCCGATATAATACCGCCTGTGTCGTCTGACACCAAACCATCGCTGCCTATAGGCAGTTTGGACTTTTTCAATTGCGCGGTGTTCGCATTGCCACGATGTGTGCCGGAAAGTGTACCACCACCGCCACCATTGCCTGAACCGATAACACCGCCACTGCCGCTGCCACTGCCAATACCGTTATTGCCGACGATGCCCGAGGAGATCGAGGCCTTCGAGCAGCGCAAACACTTTGGCAACCAAGAATTTTGCCGCACATATTTGCGATATTCGCGACGAATCTGCAGAGAATCATAAAAATTTTATGAAATGATGACGTTTGAATAAACAATTTGCCATCACAGCGCCGCTTACCTTCTCATTTTGTATGCAATGAAACACGAAAATATACAATCCCATTAGCGTGTTGAAACTAATGAAAAGATAACCGCATACAACGGCCAAGTCGTCCTCCACTTTGGCCAGGCGTAGATAATAATAGGCGGATATCCATACAGCGCTTAGCAGTAGTAGAAAAATGAAGGAGCAACGTATGTCGAAGCTGTGAAAGAAATATTAAAAATGAATTACAAACAAGAAGAAACATGAACTTCGGCTGCACCGAAACTATAATACTCTTCACAGGTGCCTTTCTTAAAAGTTAAAGAGTATAATTTTTTTCTTGATTTTCAGCTATCAATTTGTATGGCAGCTACTCAAACATGTAATAGTAGTCGTTCGAAATAATTTGTTCGATTATTATTTTATTAAAGATTGTTTCTTTATCTTGGACCATAACTTTTGCCAAATTACGAGATAATATCTCGTCAAATAAGAAAGTTTTCCATATAAAGACTTGGATTTGATAGAGCAGTTTGTATGGATATATCTCCCATATATACAAGTATATAGTGGGCAGATCTGAACAATTTGTGCAAAGATTGTAGCATTGATTTGAACAATAACCCGTGCCAAATTTCCTGGAGATATCTTTCCAAATAAAGAAGTTTCCACTCAAGTACTTGAATTTGATAGGCAGACTGACCTATCAGCTATATGCTATGGTTTAATCGACTCAGCTCGCCACGCTGATCATTTATATATGTATATACTTTATAGGGTTCCAACGTTTCTTTCTGGGTGTTACAAAGCTTAATATGCACAGTTCAGGGATTAAAAAGGGTATTCAGGGTATAAAACTATATAATATATACCTTAAGAAGGTGTCCCAGTGCAGAAATTTGATAAAGTAATGTTTCATGGAATCAAAGCTTAACCTATGAAGAATACATATGTCCTTAAGAGAATTTGACAAAATTATAAATATTGCCAGAGATATATTTGTTCTTTTAGTGACAGAACTTTCAAACCGTCTGGGTCGAAACTCGAAACTTTAAATGCTTTTTTTTAGAAACTGTTTTTTACAAAATGTTTGTAATAATTTTTCAAGTTTTACTTAATCGTTTTACTTGCATTTACTTTACGATTTTACTTACCGCACATTGGCGAGTCGCGTATGTTCTTTATTTTTCAACGTTGTGTGACTCTTGCGACACATGATGACCCATGACAAGAAGGTGTAGCCCAAAGCGCCCTAAAATATCACACAAAACCATATTGAATACCATAGTTCATGTATCAGAAGTTGTGCTACATAAAAATATAAGCGAACTTACCAGAAAAAATAGCAACACAGGTGCCACAAAACTCGAATAGAACAACGTATTCGCCTCCATAAGCACACAAAAATCATTTTGTGTATATGTATTTGGATTAATGACCAAGGAAATGGCCACAATTGTAAGGGATAAACCGTAGGAGAGTAAATAGTAACAATTCACTTTGGAAGTCTGATCAACTTCGAGTAACATGTCATCGGTGGTTAGTGTGGAGTATGATTGGAATGCTGAGAAGAAATTTCGATGAATAGAAAAAAGTAGAGAAATTTTGAAAATTCAGAATTATAAAAAAAAATTAAAATAAAAAAAAAATTATAATATAAAAAAAAATTAAATAAAAAATAAAAATTAAAGTTTTAAAAAAACTTTATATTAAAAAAAAAAATTAAAAATATAAAAAACTTTAAATTTAAAAACAAAAATTATTTTAAAAAATTTAGAATTTAAAATAGGTTATAATTACAAAATAAAAATTAAGCTTCCGAGTTTATATTTTTCTTGAACCAAATATTCGGAACTATCGTTCTAATTTAAATTGAAAACAGAATAACGGTAGTTCAAATTAAATATAATTTGCATTCCTAATTTATATAAAACAGAGTAAAAAATGTTCAAATACAAAAAAAAAAAACATTTTCGACAAACTTAACGGTACTTTTTAGTAAATGCTCTTCAAAATATCAATTAAGAGAGCTTCTGCGTCTAAAAACAAATTTAAATAACGGGTTTTCATAATTTTTAATTGACAAAATGACTTGACCTTCAATTGTTCACTGATGGGTTAAAACTAGAAAACCCGAAAAACAATTAATAAACCTTAACTCACCTTCGAAACAGAACCACGCTATCGCCGATAATATCGAACAATGTAGAAAAACAGTAGTGAAACCACAAAGGATACTCGTCTCATTCTGCTCAATGCCAATTAGGAAAAGAATTTCAATGAAAAGTAGACATATATATATGCTGCGATAGATGGAAGTGCGCGCAGACTGTAAAAAAAATGAAAAGAAAATAGCGAAAATTTGGAAAAAATTTGTCAAAAAAGTTGAAAAGCAATTTATGGCATTCAAAAGAAAATAAACGATAGTTTGCTATTGTTGTAGGTGGTGGTTTGCAATTAACAGCAGTTGCGCTAAGTTTTTCTTCGTAGATAAAATGGAAATTTATAATGCAAGTAATTTGTAGAGTATTAATACAGTTATTCAAGCATTAAAGCAAATACTTTTTGAAATTACAAACAAAAAATCGATTTTTTTTTTCGAAATTACAAAGCAAAAAATAGTTGTTCGAATATTTTTTTTCGATATTACAAAAAAAATCGAATTTTTTTTTCGAAATTGAAAAAAAATCGAAAGTTATTTAGAGGTTATAAAAGAAATCGAATTTTTTCTCGAAGTTACAAAAGAAATAAGAAATTTCAAAATTTTTTTCGAAGTTACAAAAAACTAAAATCGAAAAAATTTTCGAAGTTACAAAAAAAATTGTTTTTAGCCGGAAAATTATTTTTTTGTAAACTATTAATATTGTGAAATATTTGTATGTGCGTTTTTTAAATTAAAATTGAAATTTGTTTGTTCAGATTCACACATACTTTTTTTTGTTAAATTTTACTGTAAAATTTAACAAAAAATCGTTACAAAATTTAATAATTTTAAATATCAACTGATAAACTGGTAAGTTTAAAATCGTTTGAAAAAAGTTATATACAAAATTATTTGTTTTTGCTGACATAAAACTTGAAACTTAAAATTTCAATTTAAGATTTTAGAATACATATACATTTTTTTTTTTTTGAAATTTTAAATATCGTGCTTAAATTTAAGTATTTCTTTTTTTTAAGTTCTTTAACTGTATTAATTATTTTTATAGTAAAGTGGTGGTGGTTTTTTGGTATTTTTGGATATTATAGGATAGGTTGTAGACACACAGCAAATGAGACGAATATTATAGAACAAAAACTACACAATAATTACAACAAATATTATTAAATTAATGAACACAATGACAAATGAACAAAAATATTTTTTTTTTCAAATAGACAATATGACATTTATTATTTAAATTATGCAAGAAATGTGATGTGATAAGAATTTAAATAAATGTCAGATTTAAATATATTTTAAGCTAACTTATATAAATAGTATAAAAATTAACATAAAAAATTATTATGGAGGCTAAAAGCTAAATTTACTAAAACGAAACAAAAATGCTACATAAAACATACAAACTAAATAGCGAGTAATATTAAGAAATTAATATTTTGAAATTTAATTATAAATACACATATGTTATAAGGCACTAAAATATAATATTTACTTAGTCACTGCAAAAAAAAATTATACTTAATAGTATATCACATTTACTACTACGGTAATCAGTACAGATAACAATGAAAATAAGTTTAAAATTAAATAAAAATTATTTAAAATTAAAAAAAAATTATTTAAAATTAAAATAAATTTTTTTTCAAACATGCTATGCAATTCTACTTAAGTGGCTACACTGTTTTTTTTCATATTTTTTCACATGCAACTTAACTAAGCTACACATATACTTACACTAAAATAAACTAAATTAGTTAAACAAGTTTTAAATATTATACAGTAAACCAAGCATTTTAATTGCTTTAAATATTTCACCACCACCACCACTTATACTGTAAATCTTCCATATTGCCTTGCATTATAATATTATTTGTATTCGTATTCGCATCGCTCATGTTGCGATTGTTTGCGCCCACATTGTTATTGCTGTTATTGCGATTGACATTCAAATTATTATTGCTGCCGGCATGTTGTAGAGCCGCAGCAATTGTGGCCGCCGCCGCCATAGCCGCCACTGACGTCGTATTACTCATCGAGGTCTCCATGCTGCCGTGATGCGGTGTATGCGCCGTTGCCGCACTCACGTGCATATGCGTTGATGTTGCCGGCTGATTGAGGTTATGTCCGTGCGGATTGTGATGATGCGGTGGTTGTAAATTCAAGTTTAAATTCAAATTATTCATTTGTAAATTACGTTGATTATGCTGTGCGACGACAACGGCTGCAGCAGCAGCTGCCACAACTTGTTGCTGTTGCTGCTGCTGTTGTTGTTGTTGTGCTGCCGCCGCTTGCTGTTGCAAGTTGAAATTATTCGCATTCAAATTGTTGCGATTGGAATTGCGTATGGAATTGTGTTGTATGAAATTTGTGGGCGCCGTCGTACCAAGATGACTAATCGCCGCGGCACCCATTATATTTGGAATGTGTTGTAAATTCAATTGTTGTTGTATATTTTGTATATTATTTGTGGGCGCCGGTTGTCCGCCCGAGGCAGTCGCTGCCGTCGTACTCGTAGTTGTGGTAATCGCAAGCGTTTCATGCGTCTGATCGCGTATATTATTTTGACGACGGCCACTGCGTTGGCGCTGACTGCCGCCGCCGCCGATTTGACTACCACCACCACCATGTCGATTACGTCGCCCGCTTACCTTTATAAAAACACCATTGAATATCTTCAAAGTGAGTAATGCGATGACGACGAATACCAAACAAATGGCAACACTTATATAGATGAGTATGCGCATGTTGCCATCGAAGACGCCGAACAGCGAATGATTATGCTCGTCCATGACATCCATGAGTATGGCAAAGTTGGTGAGATGATTGCACATGCAAATGCTGTGCGTGCGATTTGTTGACTCCAAAGTGCAGCCGTTCGCTGACCATGCGCTGTGAGAAGTAAAAATAAAAAAATAATAATAAAAAGATATAATACAATTAGGTTGTGTAAAAAAGTAAAAGTTGTGCAACTTACTGATCTATGTAGTTCCAAAAGACGCAAGTCGGATTGGTAACATTTTCGGTTTTGATGTGTCGCAAGACTAATTTGATGGGCTGTGAGATTTGTATGTGTCGTCCTTTACCCAAACTTGCTGATATCACTTTGCTATTGAGTATGCGTATGCGTTGTTGTTGTAAATCAGCGCTTGCTCCCGAATCGTTACGCTCGCTGGCCAGCAAGGCTGTGTTGCGTACTATTTTGAAAAGTATTTCAATATTAACTTAGAGTTTAATGTTTGTATAATAAAAGTTACCATAACTACGCGAACTTTTTGTGTCAAAGTGGTCGTAAGACGGTTTTAGGATGGACTCCAAACGATCGAAAGCGGCGAATACTATGCGCACGAGGCCGCCTTCGCTGTTTTCTACGAGCGCAGTGCGCGGCAACTCTATGCGATCGTCACTGATTTGCCACTGTTCGAGGTCGGGGAAAACTTCGTTGCCTTGTATGTTCTTAGTCTCCAAAACACGCACAGACAACACTGAGTGGATGCAAAAGAAAATTTTAATTACCAAATAGGTATAGCAGTGGAGCACAATTATATAAAAATAAAATATAAATTATTACAACAGTGACGTTAAATGCTTTTTTTTAATTTTAAAGAACAATTTGTATGATTTCGTTAAAAAAAAATCAATTATTTCGTTTAAATTATAATGTAATATCTTATTAAATATGTAATATTTTTTTTTGAAGATTAAAATTTAATATTTTTTTGTAAATTTTAATTTAATATAATTTGTTGTAAATTATAATTTAATATTTTTTTTCTAAATTATAACTTTTTTAAGCTATAATTTAATATTTTTTGTTTTTAGATTATATATATTTTTTTTTTTGGAAATTATAATTTTACAAATTTTACAAATTATAATTTAATGTTTTTTTTTATAAATTATAACATAATATTTGTTTGTAAATAATAATTTAATATCTTTTTTTTTTTTGTAAATTATAGTTTTATATATATTTTTTTTTGGAAATTATAATTAAATTTTTTTTTTTTTGAAAATTAAATTTTTTTCTAAATTTGACCTTTTTTTAAAGCTTTAATTTTATATTTTTGTTATGAATTTAATATTTTTTTTTTGTAAATTATTAGTTTAGATTAGAACTATAATAATTGTCGTTATTAAATTATATATACATTTTTGTTTTGTAATTTATATTGTTTGTTTTTTTAATTACAATAATTTAATATTTTTTTGTGAAAATTACATATAATTTAAATTTTTATTTGGTAATTTATAATTAATTGTTTTTTTTAATACATTTGAATGTTTTTTTTTTGAAATTAAATTATTTTTTTTTTTTTTGGTATTTATAATTTAATTATAATTAATTATTTCCAATCATCTCCATTACTTACGTATATTCTTGACCTTCTGCACAATATTCCGTTCGCGTATGATGGTGTCGGCCAAAAGAAATGCATTATACTCCAGTCCAGTAAGCAATGATGTGGCAACACGCATTTGATCTTCCTGATTCAGATCCATCCATGAGGACAATTGTGATTCATCGAGCAAATTTGAACCAGTCTTTACCACACCATGTAGCAGTTCTAATATAATAGCCTCACGCTGACGTTGATCTGGTAGCGTCTCTTTGTCGTGAAACATTTTCTCCGACATGGTTTGTATGATTTTCGTAGTAACGAGCATGTCGCCGCCATACAAAGTTTTGCTACTTGTCACCTATGGTCAAGTAATTAAATGTCAAGACTCATAATTAATACAAAACGTGTGCAAAGTAATATACAAACCTCTGAAAGATCATTTGCTATAGAAATAACAGATGATTCACGTTGATTTACGCGCACCTCCAAGCTGTTTAACCACAGACTGCGGCATTGCGTAAGATCCGGCGTCATGGGATGCCAAGTGGGCTCAAAATTACCGATGCGCTGATTTAATCTATCAGCGGCATTTTCACAGCTGCTGTTTGCATTGCTGCTACTGCAATTAGCGCGTGGTATTGCGCGCATTGTGGTGGTTTCCGCTGCTCCAGCGTCCTCTTCTTTGTAGTTGACGCGCTTCATAAGCACACAACGCCATTTGGCAATGCCAGTTGCGCCACCTAATTATACATTTTATATTTAAATATAAAAATATGATATATGCAGCTTATTGAAGAATATATAATAATATATTACCTGGACACGGCTGCACATTTACATCGCCGACTCGCGTTATATTCCAGAAGAGATTACGCGCATTCGTTGGGCCGCAGAACATATTCGATTCATCCTCGGCCACCGCGCCCAAACCCATGTTGAGGTTATTTATATTGTTTATGGTACGTATGCCATTACTTCCGCCGCTAGCGTCAGCGCCTATTGCGTTGTTATTGTTGTTGCCAGCAGCATGCTGCTGTGTTGCGGTACTCTGCTGCTGATTACCACGATTTTGTGCGGTTTTAGCGGTGAGTATGGTGCCGTCATCTGTGCCGCTGCCACCGACGCCACTCAATATGCGCGTATTGGGTGTGGTGGTTGTGTTGGACGGACCGACATGTGATTTGGCTATGTATAAAAATAATAATAAGGTTTTCAACTTTTAGATTTGGGAGTTAAACAGATTAGCTTGACTCACTTTGATTTGTGCCCGGCGTGCGTGTTGATAAATCATTTTTCGCCGTTGGTCGCGTATTGCCGACAGTACTATCAATCACGTTGATGCCTTCCACAGGCGCTGTTGCATGATGGCCCGTATGATGATGATGATGCAACGGCGGTGGTGGCGGTAAACCATCGTGTCTGTTGGAATTCTTTATCACCGTTGTATTATAGTTACCTTTCAGACGGCCACCTGGTAGTGTGGGTTGCGGAGGACCTGGTGTTGGCGGCAGTGTATGCCATGAGCCACCTGACGATGGTATGGCGCCATTGGCTGGCAGTGGTAAACGTCCTGGTCCTTGTGGTTGCAACGGCACACTTGGATTGATCAGTGTGCTACCATTAGCAAGCAATGGTGGATTATTCGCCAACACCCATGGTGGACTGGGTCGATTGGTGGTGGTTGATGTTTGTGCCGCTGATATGCATTGGTAATGTGCCTCTAGATACTTGTGTGTACCAGGACAGGGATCGCCAAACATGCTCGTCGTTGCAAGCACACTGCAACTTTGTTTGTGTGCGCATCTAAAACAAAAAGAAAAAGGTGGCATTTTATAGTTAATCTGTTTAAATGTTAAATGTCACTTACTTTGAATTCAAAACGGTTAAGCTCTTTGGGAACATGCAGTTTACACTCCATTCGACATTGCCATGGTCATTGCATATCGTTATCGAGAAGCGTCCGTAATTCGCGCGTATCAGGTTGATCAGGTCGCCTGGATCGCATTCGATTGTTAATTTCTTACCTTCGCAGGCGTATGCAGTTTGGTATTTGGGCGCTATTAGAAGAGGGAAGAATATAATTAGTAAAAAAAAATATTTAATTTATAGTTTTGCAACAGAGCAAGAAATTTTTTCGTACATTAACATATGAAATTTACAATGTAATGAATTATATAATGTAATATATGAAATTTTAATTATAAATATAGTAATTAAAAAGTTGTGTTAAATGTCGTTGTTGTAGTTGATTTGGTTTGGTTTAGATTGGTTGGATGTTGTCGATCTGAAAATAGATTCAAAGCTATGCATGGCAAATGTATGACTTTAAAAACATGGAACATATAAATACATATATATACAAATAGCAATAAGTAGTGAGCACAATCATGTTTTTAGCCTACGTTAGATACTTAGAATGCTTCCAGGCATGTCTGCCACATGATTTCTTAGCTTTGTTGCTTATGTTCATAAATACCAATGCCATCTGTAAAATGTTAAAACTCAGCGTACACCTCCGGCCATTGTGTGAACCAGCTCAAGATACATCACACTGTTGATGAGTCACCAAATACTGCTTTCTTTTCGCCCGTTTCTTTCGTTCGTGAAATGAAGTCATATTTGAAGTAGAGATATTTGCAGATAAACTGTAAAAAATTAAGACACATAAGTTAGTTACAAAGCTGACAACGGTTGAACAAATTTATGTATACATGTACACCAACTTTATTTCTACATGTTTCCGAACTCAATCGAACACTAATGAAATGGCGACTTTTAAGCAAATAGTTATGACACAAATAGAATGTATTAAAATACCATATGCCTTAATCTGGTGTGTGAGGATAAGTAAATACCAGAAGGTATTACTGGTTTTCAGTGGTGTGCACTTTGTAAGTACATACTTCAGCATTAAAGCAAACAGTGAAATGGAAAATCGTCATTCACAGCACATTCCAATTACGAGCAAAGAGATGGAAATACAGCAACGAACACTTTTACTGCAAGCATGAAAATAACCCGAACTGCAAGCAGTTGTATGCATCGGCATTGACACAACACGAAATGTGCAACGCTTAACAATACACTCTCAATGCAATGCAGTGTTCCAATTCTTAATATTCCACGGACTGTATTCTTTATAATACACTTTCGATAAGTGCAGTCAATTGCAATGTTGACTTTTATTAATGTATGTACAGAGAAAAATTCGCCTGAAAATTTTGATTTATGTTTTATTATAAAGAAACTTTGCTCCTTTTTATCCTCTTTTTAATAATTTTCCTAATAATTATTTCACTTACAAAGGCAAACACAACAATCTGCTGTTGCAACACTTTACATTATAAATGTTATTTACAGCGGTTGTCAACATTATGCTGTTAAAATTGCGCTTGAATTTACAGCGCAACTTGTATATACAGCATTTTAACAGCGGCGCCCGACATTTTTCACTTGTCCACTGTTAAAAACTTTCCCCAGTCAATTGATGGCTCAAAGTTAAACAAAGGCAAATCCTTTGAAATTCACACTTTTCGAAAAACATTTTATACAATCATCATCTACGATTGCTTTTTAGTATATTTATGCACTTTTTAATATTTAAATATCAATAAGATGGCAAATAACACAAAAATATAATGGAGCTACACACCTTTGTGACTTGTAAAAATTCTCTACACTAAATAAATGTCGAATGCAAAGCGAAAATGTTAATTGGGCGAACAAAATGGAATCAGAAAACCAGTGGATTTCAGAAAAGACAAATTGAGGGCTTCCGGAGACAATTTCAAGTCTCCAAACAACTTGTATGTATTATCAGAGAACGTATATCTGGTATAATCAGATATACGTTCTCTGTTCTGTGGTATAATTGTGCATATATGTATGAATATATGTAATTGTTGCAATTAAAAAATTCGTTAAGTTCAAATTTTTATTTTTTTAGTTGATATCAAATATTTTAATGTTTTGAAAAGTATTTCTGTAGAAGGTTGTGTTTTGTAGCTCATCCTTTATGGATGAACAAGCCAAATTTTAGACGAATATGAATTAACATAATGCATCCTTCTCAACCAATGGTGTCGAAAAATAACCACGACGGACGCGGTTCGAAATCATGTACACTCATCCGGTTTTTAAACTTCATCCAGTAGACACGGGCTTAAGTAAAGTTCTATAAACAACTTGCTTCTGCTATCGATATCAAACCGATAACTATTTATTACCAACCAAGACTCCTTACACTAAAAATTTATATTTATTTCCAATTAAGTGCTGCCGCTTCAGCATAATTTATAATTGTTAAGAGTTTGAAAAGTATTCTCTCTATCACATGGCGACAACAGCTGGTACTTTTTTCAGTCCAGGCATAAGTTTTGTTAGCTGACGGCTAAGAAACGTACATACATACAACCATATGTAGAAGTCTCAAGGCTGAAATGTGATCGGCTATTTTATTTCCTGTGTTTATGAAAGTTAATTTTCCCACTATGTACATACACATGTATGTATGTATGTACGTTCTTAAGTATGTACCATGCATAAATATTGAAGTACAAACTTAGTTTTTATACCAAGAAGAGGGTATATGGTATTAAGTTTATCACGGTGTTGTAACACCTTCAGTTTTTGAGATATTGCTCTGAATTATTGCACACGTTTTTTCTCACAAAGAAACTGCTCATTTGTGGGAACCGCCGATACCGGACTATTATAGCATATAGCTGCCGTACATGCCGATGAAATTGCGTTCTTGTAAGGAACATATTTTATTTAACAGGATTTCTTGACAAAACTTGGCGTAGATTATTGTTGAAGTCAACGGTACAATCTCCGAACAAATTATTACAGATCGGAACACTATAGCATATATGTATGTTGCTGCCACACAAACCAATCAATATCAAATTCTTGTATGGCAACTTTTTTATTTGCGAAGGGTATTACAGCTTCGGTGGCACCAATTTACTTACCCAAGAACAAAATATTCAAATATTTGCATTTTGGAAAGCCTTTCATACAAAAATTCCGTAAGTCCCATCATCAATTAAAGTTTTATAATTTTTTTATATTTTCTTAGCAAATAAAAGACATGTCAACTTTATTACTTACTTTTTGAATTTTATTGACAGACACTATGGCAAACAACGACATCAATTGTATCTTGACAAATTTATAAGTTAGTGGGATTAAAGAATATAGTATTTATACATATGTATATGCCGCTTAGACCTTTTGCAACTATCACATACAATGTATGTATGCACATACACATTTCCATATACTTATATACAAATATTAATTATGGCATTAGTTTTACGTAAGTAACAACACATTTTAATGCATATCATAAGTTTAAGTACTAAAACAATTAATCAATTCCTTAAGCTTAAAACTAAAAAATTTAAGTATAATTAAATAAAAACACTTTTCACTTGTTTGAATTGGTTTTTCTTATATCTTTTGATATATTAAAATACGTACATATGTTAATATGTAGATGTGGCCTGATATGTTATAATTGAAATCGGTTGCGACAGGCTTAATATAAAATTGACTGCATGCATGTTTATTAAATCGAAATTTTATTCATTTATATATTATTGTATATTCTTTGTATGTATGTATGTATGTATGCCACTGGATGCACTTCAATTGATCCGCACACATAAAAATAACTATTTTCTAAATATTTCGTTTGTGTAATTGCCTTAAGCCTCAAATTAATTGCTACACATACAGTACATTGTAATGCTTAGAGTCATCAGTCTGTGATAAAATAATAATAAAACAAAATTAAGTAAATTGTCCGTAGTTACTTAAGAGTATATGGGTCAAAGTAAATGTATTTATTGTATTGTACATTTCATGTTTTCAAATTAATTGCAGCCATTCAATTAACGATCACAAATGATCACATACAAGTAGTATATTCGATAGAAAGTTATTGAGACTATAGCGTTGTGAAAGACCGTTTGCAGTCTTTGGGGTAAATTGAGTGGCTTTTATTGGGGGTGACTACTGATAGTAATCTTGTGTTCTTATTTATTGTGGGGAAAATGCACACAAACCCACACACGTCAAATACATATTGTTACATATATAGTTACTTATTAATGTGTATTGCGTGCAAGCGTGAGAAAATGATTCTCAAAACAAGATGACATGATGGGAATGGCACATGCTTGGTCATGAATAACAGTGCTCGTAATTCATTTTATTTTAAGCTAAGTATGATGCGAAAAAAAGGATTAATAATAAAAATACGAATAAAAAAATATTAATATAAGTAGTTATTAATATAAAATTATTATTAATAAAAAAATATTATTAATAATAAAAAAATTATTATTAATAAAAAAAAAAATTAATTTAAAAAAATAAAAAAGCAATTATAACAAAAACATTTTTAAAAGAAATTAATTGTTTGTTAAATTTTTTTTTTAACTAGATTAATAAAATATTATGAATTTTAAAAAAAGATTAATAAAAATTATGATTAAAAAAAACGATTAATACAGAAAGATTAAAAAAACCATATTAATAAAAAATTATGATTAAAAATATAAAAGATTAAAACAGAATGATTAAAAAAACATTTTTACATAAAAAATTATGCTTAAAAATTAAATAGATGAACTAAAAAAATGTGAAAACAGAAATTAAAAAAGTTTAATTTTATTCATTATTAATAAAAAAAGATTAATAAATATTATAAAGAAGTAAGGGGTTACATGGGTTTCATGGTCTCAAAAAAGTTTTTATTAATTTATTTAATTATATAACATCTTTAGAATAGTATTCTAAATTCCCAAGTTGATCCGAGTAGTAGTTTTGGAGCTACAGCCCTGAAAAGCTACGCATTCGAGGTCAGCTATATAGTTACATACTTACAACTTTAAACGCGTTTTTCTCGAAACTGTGTTTTCAAAGTCGGTTGTCAAGATTTCTCGCAAACTACTCAACCGATCTTAACACAATTTTACACAGGTCTCCGAGATATATTTTACTAGGTCTTGAACGAAAGTTGTTTTTTTGTTAAATTACAACTATTTAAAAAAAAACAAAAACGTCGAGAAATTTTCACCATAATTTTAAAGTCTGCATCTAGTTTATGGTCTTAGCTAAAGCACGTATTTTTTTTTTTTACTTTTGATGATCCTGTAAGAAGTACTGTTGTCAACGGGGAGGTACCCTTTTTCCTAGAGACTGTCGGAAATGATGTTGTAATGGCCGAGTTTTGAATATTTTCCTTTGAAAATTTCAGAAAATCTTTTTAAAATATGCATCACTGGAATAATAAAAAGTTTAAATAAAATATTTTATTTTTTTTATGAAAAAGAAATGATTGATTCGCTGGAGATTAAGGTTTGGCGTATCGAAGACAGCTAATTTTAAGTAGAAAAATCTTTCACACCGACTACAATCGGCTACGGGATCATGGAAAACTAGAATTCTGTAAATATACAATACTTTTATTTATTTAGTACAACAATGATTCTTCAAAAAAACAAAAATTAAAAAAAAAACGCATTTTTTTATGACCTGCAAGTGGATATAACACCCTAAAAAATTGTAACTATATATGTATGTATGCATTTTGACGTGTGCAAAAAGTGTTTTCGTGTGGTATAACTGAACTTAAGTTTCGCAAGTGACAGCCGTAATGTAACAAATCTTGCATTGTGCTAGTCTATCTTTAGTTATTTTTTTAAGTAGCTCAATATATTTTTCTGAGCGTGACGTTTTAGATACTCCAAAAATATGCTATCGTTTTTGTATTTGTTTAAGCGCATAAACGTGTGCAAGTGCATAAGTGTAGATATGTATGTCGAAGTAACGTGTACAATTTTTTGTTGTTTAATTTCATCTAAATGCTAAGTAAAGTTTGTTTTAACTATTTAACAACAATTGCAGCACTACATTATTTATTGTTATTTTTTATATTTATATTTTTGAGAACTTTAAGTAGATGCCACTCCAAAACATTTAAAATGCGCTGGCAGCTTACGTACAGGTGTTTACATTTCTTTTATATAGGTAGCTATGAATGTAGGTCTGTTACTCGTAAATACCGCTAAAGGCACTTTAAAATTGATTGTGTGCATAATACTTGTAATTGTTTATTTTACTTACAACTAACAACTAACAACTACTGACTACTCACTATCAACTGGCTAAGTACATGCTTACTTACATATGTATATATTACGTATTTACGTGCATATGTATGTGTTAGGGTGTCAACTATTTCCACCAGTTGATTTTTTTTGCAAACGCCCCTGAATTTTCCGTTTTAGTCTAGATCAAATTTCAATTTAAAAAGTTTTTTTTTTATAAAAGTTAAAAATTAAAAACCTAAAATAATTTGTTATTTAAAATTTTTACATAAATTTTAAGGTTATGTGAAAAAGTAGTCCAAACATTAGTGTAGATCTTTTTATTACGTATAACTTTGGCATATAACTTTTTTCTATACAAGTAGTACTCGAGAAAAAACGTTTTTAACCCTTTTGTATTATAATATAAATTCCTCAAAGTTGTATGTTTATGAGCTTTGGTGTGAAAAGTTGTTGCGAGAGATCGAAGAATCCTATATAAAATATATAGAAAAAAAATGATTTACATACGTTTTAAATTGAATATAAAACGCTTCAAGTTGGATCATTTTTTAGGGCAAACAACTGAAACTTGAAGAGCGTTTAAAACCAAAAATCAACTTTGGAAAAAGGTACACCCTAATATGTGTGTATATACTATTACATATTCATATACTGGCATTTGCTATTTTTAGGATTCGTTTAACGTAAAATCTTAAAAATAAAAATTTATAAATTACTAGTACATACACTAATAAGTAATAACTAAGTTAAACTTTGTTTCAATCACCAGCAGTGAAGTGGAACTATATGGAAAAACTTCTTAACAACAATTAAAATACATATAACTTTCAACAATAACTCGACTCATTTCACCCACATCACTGTTCCATCTGTTCGTGCCGCTTGTCGTGCGTCTGCGCATGCGTTTTACGCTTGTGCCAACGCACGCTTGCGAATTGCGCAAAACGCTGCCCGCAAATATCGCATTTATACTTCTTTACAGGCAAATGCAGTTCGTTGTGCTTCTTCAGATTGGCGAATGTGGTGTAGGCTTTGCCGCACACATCACAAACATGTTTACGTATATTCAAATGGCCATTCATGTGATCCGTATAACGGTTGCGCTCGTAGAAGGCCTTGTCACAGATGGGACAATGAAAGTTCGACTGATTGAGGTGAGCGCGTCGGTGTGTGTCGTAAAAGGACCAAGTTTTGAAGGATTTGCCACAGAAGTTGCAGATATAGGGGCGCTCGCCTGAAAAAGTGAAGTGGAATAATTAGAAAATTTGAATTTTTAGAATGTTATGAGCGGAAAACTATATAGCCTAACATATACCACATTTGATCAAATTTGACAGATGGTAGACGGTGTAAAGTCAATCGGAAGTTCTAAAATCACTATTTAGGTAATATTAGGTATGAGAGAAAGAGCTAAAGGAATTACTCAACCGTTACACGGACGAACGGAAAAGGGAACTGAATTTTTATTTAAAAATAACTAAAAATAATATCCAATAAAACTCACCTGTATGACTACGCATATGAATCGCAACCTCGGTGGATGTAGCAAATTTCTTATCGCACACTTCGCAAGCATACGGAAAGTCACCTTTATGTCGACGTATGTGTATGGTGAGATTGCCGGGTATTTGGAAACCCTTACCGCAAAGCGTACAAATAAATGGTTGCATACCATCATGACCAGACTTATGAATCTTATACTGATCGGAGGTCTTAATTAGTTCAGCGCAAACATCACAGCGAAATGGACCTAGATTAACATCGAGAAACTCCATCAGCTTCGTTTGTATAATTGACGGTGGCGGTGGTGGAGGTGTTGTGTTGATTTTATTGATTTCGACTAGACGCTTATGCTTCTCAGCTGAAAACTCTTTACGCATTTCGTATAAGGTTTTCTGCAATTCTTCCAATGTACTATCAATGCCAAGCATCAGATTAACTTCTTCGAGCATTTGATTGAGTTCCTCATTGCGGTATGTGGTCGAACGATAATCAGGATGATCGACATCCCAAAGCGCTGAATAGCTCTTGTAGATCTCAATGAAGGTCAGGTGATCATCGTTACTGTTAAAATCGATCGATTTGGCTTTTAAATATTGTATCTTTGGTTTGCAAGCGATAACACCTTTGCGCTGTAAGACATTAAATAAATTTTGTTAGCGTGTTCTGCCGATAAAGCATATCTTATTTAAGTTAATTTTGGCAAATATATGTATGTGGAAATATATCAATAATCGACTTTCTTCTCTGCAATCTGATTATCATCACATAACCAAAATTTCCCCCTTCACAAGTTGCTCACCTTTTTTAGTCGATCGCACAGCTGATCTTCAAAGATCTTCTGCAGGAACTCCATTTGTTCAAAGCACCACAATTTAGGCGCATACAGCCCTTTTTGTTCGTGTACGATACGTAATTCACGCCGAAAACGCGTGCGTAGTTTTTGTATCTCTGTGGAACATTCATCCGCGGTCATGTTAACATCTTTCTCCAACAGCAAATTTATTGAGATCTCACGCATTAGTTCATTCTTATTACAAAGCAAATAGTTGGGATGCTGCGGATTCCAGAGCGCTTCCTGACTACGAAAGGCGTCCAAAAGATAAGTGAGCACGGTACGATTATGTGTGGAACGTGGCGACCCTGTACAGTCTTCGTCAAGTGATTTATCAGTAACCGAACTATCCAATTGTTTCTACAACGAGAAGGAATTGAACACTTAGAAAGGAGTCAATACAGCATGTATTCAGTAATGCAGCAGACTGCGCTTGCTCAACTACTCGTACCTTGACTTTACGTGCGGCACGTTTATTCTCGATAATATCGCGCAGAAACTCCATTTTCTCGAAATATTTGAAACGTGTCTTATATTTGCCCTTACGTTCGCGCGCTTTAGCCAATTCCAGTCGATAGCGTGAGCGTAGACTTTTAATGATCGCATAGATCTCGGAGCCGTCCAATGAGTAGTTCATGTCACGCAATAGTGGGCGCGACAGTTCCTCAAACATCTTACGATTGGCGTTGTATTTGTATTGCGAGTGATTGGGATTCCACAGCTTTTCGTTTTTTTTGTAAGCTTCAAGCAGATAAAAGATCACTTCGGTACTATGCTCATTCTCGTTGACCAAGGGCTAAAATGGCAAGTAAAATCGCTATACAAAAATACGTATATATGTACAAAGTGCTCTCGAGGTTGCTATGTACCTTTTCGCAATTTTGCGTTTTTAATGTGTTCAACGGTAATGCTATAAGGTTTTTGCGTAATTCTCTGTTGCTATAGGAACTGGGTACATCATTTTCCGGACACTATAAATATGAGAAGGAGGACATGTTATGTTTTTCTCTCTTTTTTAAATTTAATAATTAGTCACAAGCAGAAAGAGAGCTTTTGAATGAGTTTTAAGAAATCTGGACAAATTATGAGCTGCTTTATAAACCAAATAAGGAAGTCAAGTTACTTTGGCCAATTACAATAAAATCTAGTGCTTTTACTGGACATATCTTATCTAAATAAAATTGTCGAGGCATAGATCACAATATTTAGAATAGATTATATTTTTAGGATGATATAAACGAAGCGAAAGGCTGTACCTGTGTTGATATTTCAAATTCGTGTCCACTTAAGAAACTTACAAACGACTGCTGCGCTATTATGGACTCGACCAAGCTCGAACTCAAATAAATTTAGAGGTAATGCCATCTGCTGGCTACAGAATTATTCTATATCTGTTGGTTCGTCACCCTGTATGTGAAGGTATAAGTATTTTTTGTTCATACTACTGGCTGTTTGAGGTTCCCTCCAGCGCAATCCGAAGGAAATTTTGGTTAGGATCCACTGTTATATAACTGAGACCAAGGAATAGTCGAAACAGTGAACAGTCAACCGGAGAACCTACATCAAAGAAGACATGGGCTGGAATTCACAAAGTTGGTTTACATCGATTACCTGGCGTAAGGCAAAATAGTTACAGGGCGCTACTATACCGAATTATTGGGCCGATTCGAATACAGAAAATACGGCTCCATTTGCCGAACTTAAAATGCTCTTCCACTATGACAAAGCACCGGCTTCGAACTTCGCCATCGCCACGACAAAATTGGTCGAAATAGGCAGAGAATGGCTGAGCCTATCCACCGTACTCTCCAGATTTTACCACGTGCAACTTCTTTTCATTTGAGAAAGTGATTCGCTGGGCAGAAATTGGGGCCAAATGAGGAGGTTTTAGTTGTGACGGAGGTGAACTTGCTGACCTCCAAAAACATACGATTAAAAAAGTTGCAGCATTGCTTAAATCTCCATTTAAGTCTTCTTTCGTACAACAACAGCCTTTGGAACCACGAATACTTTGAATATCAAATTCATGAGTTCCGACTTTAATGCATATATATTGACTATATATAATTTAAATTTCCAAAAAGGAAAAGTAAGTTCCAAAAAATTTTTTGAAAATAAAGCAAGTCTCGCTTCATCTCTTCAGTCACTTTTCTGTCGAAGCGAACCAATATAAATATTATATTTTAGTAGGTACATTTTTAATTGTTTTCCTTCGTGTCAAAACTATAAACTGGCCTTGACTAGCTCCAAATTTACAGGAAATGCTAAATACTTTTAGTGTATACATTCAAATGTTTGTGTACTCGACTAGAAATATTCATGTTTGTTAAAAACTTGGTTTTTCTCTTCTTAATTGATTGATGACATAAATTGCCCCCAATATTTGCGAATTCAAACGAATAAGCATTTATTTGACATTTCTTGTACATAAATACTTATGGTATATATTTGTAGCAATTGTAGCAATTACATACAAACAAGCATAAAATTGTTTTATTTGCTTTGCCTTTGCTATATATAAATATTTATTTTTGGGCATATCTAATATAAATGTACGAATGCATATATGTTTTTAACTATGCTTGTATGTTTTTATATTATATTTCAAACCCCGAAACCTTAATAAACCAAAACAGCAGTCATTAAACAAGATATGTATCTTTACTTGCAACACAGCCATACAAATATACTAGCTAAATAAATTTCTTATTTACAGTGGGCTTGATTAGATTGAAGGACCTACGATTTTTTATTAAGTATTCCGACCTTCATTTCTAAAATTAGAAACCGCTGCATTTATACTTAATGAATAAATCAGGGGGCATCACAACAAAAATCGCTGTGGATTACTATTTTAATCTTAGATTTTCTACACACCATCGTAGCAGCTATGAATGTTCAGTTTACAAGGGTTGTAGTGCCGAGGTAGACGAACTCACCAATCGACCTCACAGTTTATCAGAGCCTGGCATTTCTCACCAGCGAATGAATTGTAATCGCAGCTTAGATTAACATATACTGTACAATCATTGACTAATATAATATAAAAGAGAGAAAAAATAGTAATTAGCTCTGAGTTAAATGCGTTAAGGTCTTGAAACCTTATGCATAGCAGTCTACTATCAGCTAACATTCACATTTTATTCCACTCTAACACTAAACTATTATAAAATTCCGATAGTTATGCTTTCTTTCATTCGCTTACGACATAAACGGTCGAGAGGACAAATGCATCACTCAAGCTGTCAAAAAATTCACCAGTGGGCAATTTCCAATATGGCTGAACTTACAGTTACCTAAACTCGAGTACTTCATTACGCAGCTGGCTTAATATTGCCCATTGAGTATTGTTAAATTGGAGGCAGTCTTCTGAAATTAATTCCTTTACCTAGTTTTTCCAACTAACACCTCAAAAAAGTTGCGCAGAGAAAGTCTCAAAACGATCAAATAGTAGAACGATTTTTCCGTTTTTCAATAATTCAGCTATAAGAACAAAATATGGTCGACAGCAGAGTTCATATCTTGGAGGATGACCATCCCTTATGCAATCCAATTGCTATCGTTAGAAATCGGAAGAGTAATCACATCCGATCGTTATGTAGTGGCATATTCATCTTGACGAGAGTTTTGCGATGATTCGGGCACTTCCCTACGACAACTGGACCAAATTACCATAAGAAAGCGTTAAAAAAGATATGTCAATAGCAGATAATCACCTTGTGCCAGTTCCGGATTATAAGGTGGATGCAGCGGAATTTCTCATTCTCGCTGTGTGTGGCCAAAGCGGGCCGCTAGGCGATTACTTCCTTCAGATGATCCAATAGTTGACAGCACAGGTCCGTAGGGTACCAGCTCACATGTTTACCTGCCAAACCCCCTAAACATATAGCAAAACCTTCCTGATTGACAATCCTGACTTGGCCACTTTTTGTGACGGCTCATCGCAATTCGACCACGACCGTTTTTGACGTTGTCCTATGTGACTCACATTTCATCATCAGTAACCATCCGCTTCAGAAATAGATTGATTGTTGCGATGAAGCAAGGATTCGTTAATGGAAATACGATGCATGAGGTTTTTTTTTTGTGTTAAATCGTGTTGCAGCCATACATCAAGACCCTTTTTGCAATCAAAATTGTTTGAAAAATGTTTTTAGTGCGAACTTTTATTTGTCTAAGGACATATAGCGTAGACCTTATACAAGTGGTAACGCTGCCCCCGACTAATGCTGATAAAAACGTAACTGAAAGAACGATCGAGTCATGTAACGTCTATAGGTGTGTTTGAGCACATTTTCATGTATTCGCACACCTGTATGCTCACTGTATCTCTCGACTGGTGGTTACATACTTATGTACATATACATATGTACATAGGCTTTGGGGGTTGCCAAAAGACAGCGTCTGCTAACAATTTAATCCACAACGGTTTGTTGCCAAATCAGTTTATGTAAAAGAACCTATTAAGTCACTGGCTTGCCGGAATGTTTGTATAATATGCAGAACGAGTATCTATATGTATATGTATGTATATCTGAGTTGTATTATAATCAGCTAAAAAGACATGCTATACCGACAACTATGTTTGTAGAAGCAGTCGGTGCGAAGTAAAAATTTCTACCGGCAGTTCCTCTGCTAAGCCAAAAGTCAACAGCTGAGATTAAAATTAATGCGTGTTTGACTTTGTGGCGTTCCTCACAAATGCTGTCTCCATGCACTTACATACATACATGTACGTATGTAATGATACATGGAATTATTAATCAACTTATGATGCTCATGTCCTACATACTTACGTATGTATGTAAGTAATTATATTTTCAGTGAGTGTTGACACAGCGAGCATACAACAGCTGATATTTAGTGAGCACTCCTGCTTGCTAAAAATATTTTTAGATTGAACATCAAAACCAGTTTTTATGTGACAGCAAATTTGCCGTTTTATCAAAGAATTTCAAATAAAAAAGCGCTATAAAAAGCATGTGCAAGTAGATGTGTTTGCATATGTGACCAGCATATTTGCAACCAGAAGAGCGCGCATAAACACATATTTCCCGCAAGTTTGTATGTACAGAACGAATCTAATATACATACATATAAACACTCAAACCCAGGTGTAGAATTTAGAATAGATTTTTTAGAGCAGCCTTCAAATAAATGGTATGGAAATTCAGTAAGGCTCTGAAGTCCTCTAGAGAGCAAATATGAAAACGAATTTGAAATTGAATTATTTTTAGAAATATTGAGCTGCATAGCAAACAAGGCAGGACTCAAAGTAAATATTTATGTTAATGCCTCGGCAATGTATTTCACTAAACAAATGTTCATGATTTGGTATATGTTTCAGAAATTGTCAAGTCTAAAAGTCTGTATATATTGTATACCATTTTCAACAAATAGTTATATGTATATTCTTAGCTCAGGCCTGTTCTTTTCTCTACTGGGATGTAAATACATATGTTCTTACATACACTCACTTGATTAAAATCCATGTACAAACACTAGTCTGCACTTGTTTCAGCCAGTGCGCCGCTTGAGCTTTCGTAACCCTTTTCATTTTCGATGAGAGCACACATACATATATACGTAAATACATACATATGTAGATTGCTAATACAGTTAGACAAAAAATTGCACAAGAATATGTTGCGGTAAAATCAAACACTTTATGATGATGCTAAGGATTTATATAAGTTGTATCAGTCATGTTATACCTATAAGATCTAGTAAACAGAAATCTATAAGTTTTCCAATAGATGGCTTAAGCAATTTGCATTTCGATATCTACAAATGCTATTGTGTTACGTTGTATGGCGTTAGAAAAGTAAGATTTCATACTAAAAAATTCCCAGACCAGAGAGACTTCTGGGATTGCTGAATTCAGTGTTGTTTGAGCACGACTCAAAGAGGAATACCAGCAGAGCGAAAATACGCCATATTTAACAGTTTTTCTTCGATAAAGGCGAAAACG